AGTGTTCAAATATATTTCACTGCTGTAAGAATTTTTCTTAACTCTTAAATTGCGAAATAGATATGTTTTGCCCTCTTGTGCTTTATCTATGTTTTCTTCCCATAGGTCTAGTTTTATGCTATCTGTTGGATCAGCAATATAAACTTCCCTCAAAGACAATTTTCCATTCTTAACTTTGCGTACTTCACCAATGCTAACTACTTTTGCTTTTAGGGTTATCAATTGGCCTATGCATACAGACTTAATGTCTGATATTGTCAAGTTTGTATCAATATCTTTTTTTGGAAAATCGACCTCTGGATACTCTTCTATTACAATATCTTCATGAAGAAGGAGATCTTGAGAGTTGCATTTGGTCTCCAGGGTGCATTTTGATAGCTTGACAGGGGAGCTTGTATTGGTAAAATCTTCTAGAAGTTTTCGTTTCTTGGGGGAAAAGCACACACCACGGAGTGTTTTATACTTTGTTTGTATTTGGAAGTCAAAAAATGCTCCATCCTTCTTTAAGGGTGAGATATTATGGAGGTACCCTTTTGCTATGCCCTTTGATATCTGATCTTCTTCTTGCATCATTTCCTGATAATTTGTTAAGTACTGAATTGCATGTTTTCATAATTATACACTTGTACAGTGACTTTACAAAAAATATGCAAAAGAGTTATAAGATTAATGGAAAATGCAAATAACAATATAAAAGTTTAAAAGATACATCCATTTCGTTGTCTTGGAAGACATCCTATACAAATACACAAAAATTAATTAACAATTAGTCGTATTTACATGTAGTAACCTTTGCAGTATTTAATTTTTGGAACAAATGTAAGAGGATCCTGAAGGGGGGTGTCTGATCCAATTTCACTGTCTATTTTTTTTGTCAAAATCCTATTCCCAGTTACATATTTTTGAAAAATCTGACACCGTCCTGTAGTTTAAATGAGTTATTTTAATTTGTGTAAATTGCTATGCCAATATTTGTAAATATTATTGTAGATTTTGTTATGTCCCTTCAGATAGTTTAAAGATGAATCCCACTCACATTGAATGCTCTGGTTCCCATTCCCAGTAGGCAAAAATCTCAGTCCCAGTGAATCCAACCCAAATTTCCCAGCAAAAAATAAGCAAATCCCAGTCCCATTTTACCCCTATGATATATTTATTAGATTATACTTACCACAGATATGTTTGGAAGAAAATTTTCTTCACCCATCTTTTCCGTCAGATATAACAAATAGAATACAGAATCTGTATATATAACGAAAAACATAAATGGACATCAACAGTGTTTAGTCTAACTGAGGAGGTTCTGTAATAAACAAGTTTTTATAGGCAGATAGATATAAAGAAAAATAAAACATGTTTATAAATAATAATTAAATGAAAATGTAACAATACTGTAACAATGATAAAAAAGCAAACGTTTGTATTGTGTGAATTTACGGGTATGTGATGAGAAAATCACATTGATTGTTGCTCTTTATTATCATTAGCAGAATATTTAAAGGAAATTCTATGAAAAGCAGTTGATTAAAGCATAGATTGCTTTGTGGTCTGAAAAGTATGTCTCCAAGACATTGAATGAAATGAAGGACTCTGGTAAATTAGTATATATGTGATCAATACAGGTCTTGTTATCTGTTGTACATTTTGTCACTAGTTGTCTGTAATTATAATCTTTTATAAACAAATTATACAGTGGAGAGTTTTTTTTTATTTTTATCAAACCAATTGAAATTAAAATCACCAATAAATATTGCATATTGTGATGACAGTAATTGAATTTCTTGTCTTAAAGCTTCACACAATTGCCTGACATGTATGTTTGGAGGCCTGTAAATTCCTATAATTGTAACATGTGGGAGAATCATAAATCTTGTTAATGTGATTTCAATATCAGAAGCATTATGTATCTGTGGATACCCAGGATAGTAATCTAATGTGGTATAAACAGCTGTACCACCATATGGTCTAACATTTGTGTTTGATACACCATCATTTCTGAATAAATTGTAGTTATTTATTGTGTATATAGAATCAGTTTCAGTTGGATTGAATCTTGTTTCATAGAATATACTAATATCAGTTGCAGAGTAATTGAGATCATTGCGAATGTCGTCAATGTGCTTATGCAAAGATCGGCAGTTAAGAGAGCATAATTTAAAATTGATTGCATCTGCATTGTAAATTGGAGTTATGCATGGTTTGAGTTGTGCTTGAGTTCTCAACCTTTCCATCTCCTTCTGAACATCGGGAGAAACAGATATTTTGTTTTCACAAAAATCAGTGATATATAACCCTTCTATAGTCGTAACTCTGCTTAGCCCAACATAATGAATATGAGGTATGGCTCTTTTAGTTTCAAAATTAGCTACAATTTTAGTTTCAGTATCACCTTGTGATCTGTGAATAGTTTTAGCAGCAGCCGGTCTTAGTGGAAATTGCTTTCTTACAACCTGTACAGTTCTATTTCTACCTACAGCAAATTGAGTAGTTATGGGTTTAATTGGTGTCCATGATGGCTGAATATCTTGAGTATATAACTGTCTGTTATCATGTCTAGTTTTCTGACCAACATCAGGATGGTCAAACTGTACCCATATTATACCTGATGGTTTGTCTGTTTGATGTATTTGTATTAGTTTAATAACATTTCCAGCACCATTGGTCATACCATCATCAGTTCTAGTATTAAGAGATATTTCAGTTCTTTCACCTACTGCTAGTTTAAGTACAGAGTATAGCTGCTTTGTTTTTCTAGGGTCACTAGGTACTTGTCTAAGTATTTTATCCCTAAGTTCTTGTGACTCAGCTCCTATAACACTATCCTGTGCATTGATTGAGTATTTTGTTCCTGGCAATGCATTATGTGCTTTACGGTTGAAGTCATTTACTTTAGCATTCTGTATGAACAAGTGAGGAGCATCTTTTGGATAATTATTGCTATTAGGATCTATTATTCTTTCTTTGAATTTTTTTATGTCATCCTCAGTTTGATTTCCTTCTCTTAACCTATTTAACATTTCTGCAAACTGCTTACTTTCTCTTTGTCTCATTATCTGTTTGAGTTCAAACATTTTGAATAACTCTTGCCAGAAATTGGGTGCAAGTATTCCATATTCAAAATTATCCATGTCTTTAAATATATAGCCATCCATTACAGGTTGTAGTTGGAATAAATCACCAATAGCAATAATGCTAACACCACCAAATGGTAGTGAGCTACCTTTGATATCTTTGAGTCTATTATTGAATTGCACATTAAACATGGTGTTACCAACCATGGAGATTTCGTCTACAAATATAAGTTTCACTCCACCAATTTGACATCTGATTGTGTTTAATCTGCCAGAATCAAGCTTTTTATATTGTCTCAATGACTGACATGCTGGTATTGCTAGAGCACTATGTATCGTGTTACCTTTAATATTATAAGCTGCTTTACCAGTTGGTGCTAGCATTAATACTTTTACTTCAGCAAAGTTAACACCTACTCTAGTGTTATAATACTTTATGGCTGCCTGATATGCAGCTTTAGTAACATGTGATTTTCCTACACCAGCACCTCCACTAAGAAAACAGTAGAATGGTTCATCAGATGTCTTTATAAGATGAAGAACATGATAAAA